TCCAGCGCTCTGGGTGCTTCGGTTGCGGAGTTACGTCATGGGAAAAAAATAAAGACAAGCATCACGTTTATAAGTTTAAATACACGCACAGACATACAGACATGCACAAACATATACACACAAAACATGCATTCGCAAATGTACACAAACACACAGACACATATACACCTACATACACACACAATCACACATAAATACAGACATACATACACACACACACACACACACACATAAATATAGATAGACGCATGATAATTTTTCCCGAAACAAAGAAATATCGCGAAAACTGAAACCAAATCAGCCGAATAAGTAAGTGTGGGAGAAGTTTCTGGAAGAAGTCCAAGTTTCTACATTCCAAGTTTCCCATAGTTTGCATTTTTGTCTCGCTAAGCATTCCTTGGATTATTTTAACGCCCCCGTCTTCCAACAGAATTAGAAAGAGGCTCATTTACGTAACAAAAAATATATATATATATTTATAAAAAGACGCATAAACCGCACAAACCGTGGACTGTATGACCTGGAGCGCCGCCGATATCGCCTTCGGCTACTGCTATAATCTTCGTCCTCACTAGAAAAATTTCAGTGGTAAAACCGAACCTGTTAGTAATGATAGATAATTACCATAAGAACTGCAGAAACTGGAGCTTTTTGAAGAGAGGAAAGAGGTGAGCAAGAGCAGCAGGTAGAGAAAAAGCCTAAGAGCCTAGTAAGCCTAAGTGTTCTGTTGATCATGCATGGGTCCATTTCATTATCCGCTTCATCCATCTACTATCTGACATCCTCGCCCATCTCTTTTTTTTTTTTTTCACGACCAGCCCAACTCTTTTCCCTGCTGGCGTATATTGCTTCAGTAATATTTTTCACGTCAGATCCAACTCGGAACAGTTCATTTTAAATGTGCTACAGCCTGTCAGCGCCAACCATCCGTTACTCCGTTGCTGTTTGAGATACCGCCAATTTTCTTTCTTCAGCAAGCGTGATATTCCACGTCTCACACCCATATAACATGGCTGGTAGAACTGTTGAATTGTACATTGCTACTTTTGCATATGTAGTAATTTTTGACGTGGAGAACCTCACAACTATATAGCATAAAATGACATATAAAGATTACCTGTCCGAATCACGATCCCTTTCACGTTCACGACCTCGATCACGATCCGACCGATCTTTTTCTTCTTCTTTGACATCACGACGTTCCAGACCAGGTGGTGGGAACGTTGGCCTGGACATCAGTGGAGGTGGACGCGTCATTGGAGCTGCTGGAGCACCTAGGAAATTCGAAAAAATGTAATGACATGCTGCGCAAAAATCGTTCGATGAATTAGGAATAAGTAGGTATAAAAAGGAAAGTACCAAAACGCGGTGGAGGAGCGAAGCTCGGTGGCGGTTGTCCAAAAGTTGGTGGAGGAACATTGAAAGCAGGCGGTGGTACATGTGTGTTCGGTATTGGTAGTCGTACTGGTGCAGGTACACCAATTCCTGGTGGCGGTAACAGCGGATTGAATCTGAATTGCTGTGGATTATGCAATAGAAAGTTAAAATAAGAAGGAATGAAATAAAAAGAAAAAAAAGCGAAAAAAGGCAAGAAATGAAAATCAGAAAATTTGTAAGATTATTATAATAGTAAGAAGCGTTTCGGTCCATTAAGTCGTATACATTTCTTAACGCAGGCAAAATCACGATAGCTTTGGAGAAATGACGTAGCTGTGAAGTGTTGCTAGCACCAAAACAGATCTGTTACGTGTGCGAATAAGATTCCAAAATAACTACCGGACGAGCAATACTGTTAACGACTGTCCAGACAACTACTGTTCGCTCTATTACTAATGTTCCCTACGCACCTTCGACCCAGGAAATTTTTATTCGGCCCCTTTTCCCCCGTATACTCAGGTTTCATGTACGGCCCCAGGAAAGTTTTGGCGGGGAAAATTGTTATCTCGGGAACCAAAAAAAGCGAGGGGGCTCCACTGCTTCTTCTTACTCTATTACTTTTTTTGAGCACAAACAAAAATTCGATTGTTTCTGAGTACAAAAAAATCAAAGGCTCCGAGCGAAAAAAAAAATACCACGTGTTTAGAGAGAATAATAATATACATGAACGGCTAAAAAACAATAAAAATAAACTTGTACTAAAGCACGACAAAAAACATTTTAATTTTTGTAAATGAATTAGAAAAAAAGAAGATACGCTGGAGGTGGGACAGACGTATCCAAAGTGGGGATATGTCTTGCAGCCATATCGGCGAAGCCTGTGGGTGGTGTCGATGAACCTGGCGGTGCTGGTTCATCCACTCCTGGAGGTCCATCGCTCGTTGAAGACTGCATTGCCAGATGTGGCGGTACTGCCGGTACTGGTGTACTGCTAAAAAATTACGCACATAAAAAAAAAATCAGCAACGGTGGTTTCGAAACAAAAAAGAAGCAAGAATAGTGAAAATGACCGCGTGAGCGCACCTTTTATTTGAAGCACCAGTGATGTCCAGTGTTGGCGGAGGTTTCGAGAAATCTGGCGGAGCTGCTGCGAAATCACATGTTCCCGATCCAGCCGGTGCTGCTGCTGCTGCTGCTGTCGGCGGAGGTACTGCAGTATCCGGCACCATTGGCACCAGAACTCCATCGCTGGTACCATCAAGAACACTTACAGACTGTAAAAAAAACAAATAAATGGCAACGCGCACCAGACTAGCCGGTGCGATCATGCGTTTTGTGCAATTCAGCC